AATCAGTAGTGTAGGCATTTTATTAAAAATTAATCAGTCTCTCACGAACACACTCTCCTACTGGCTGGACGAGGTTTTAAGCAGGCTTTTGCGTGTGAAGCAATTGGTACCGCAGAATCGCCGAGTCTAACTGTCGACTTTTGTGCCATGCAACCTTTAGATTGCCGACTTCGGAGTGAGCAACGAGTTCGCGGAGGAAGACATCATCCTCCACGACACCGCCGGATCTCCCGCCTTCGCGGCGCCCGAGTGCCTGCGCTCTGACAAGCCGTTTTTCAGCGGTCGGGTAACTATGACATTTTCTGTATCACACTTGTCCGGCCCTGCTCACAAGATCTGTTGCTATGCAATTGCAGCGCCACATAGCGTCTCACACTTTGTAGGGTCTCTTAGCCAGATCCTACCTGTTGCCACCTCATCATCAGGTCTAGTGAAACAGTTTTTCTTTTCTCCCATGGCAAGTGCCCAAAGGGGGCTGGGAGATTCGCAGTCCGATTAAAACCAGATTTGTGAGAGGCCTCAAGCTTCTTCAATCGTAAATACGCAGTAAATATGAGTATATTTAGTATTTAATTATATTTATCGAATGGCAGTAAGAGCTCGATCCATACGCTGCCTCTGAAGAGGGCAAAAACTAGCCAACAACGGTCATGATCGTGATCTGTCCATCCGTGCGACGATCTTGGAGAGAAGTCTCGTCCTTCCAGTCAGCTTCTGGAACGCCCTCCTCGGGTTTGGTGGTTAATTGTAGACGAGTGGACAGTTGAGAGAAAAAAAAATTTTTCTTTCTCTATCCTGCAGAAGAGAGACCTTTTTGTCTCATCGACTAACAGCAAAACTACTGATTTTGCATATAAGTAGTATATGATATATCTCATTCATTTGTAGCCCTCCGGCAAGGCCTAAGCCCGTATGTGGACTCGCCACCTGGTCCGGCGTGTGTCTGTGTTATGTCCACGTGTGGGGCTGTTTTGCAAATAAACGTTTGCAATCCCTCCTCGTGAGAATTGGAGCAAATAATTTTTCGCCTTTTGGCCTTCCTCTCTTTGCATACATCATGACAATTGGAGAGAAATAAAGAGATGAAAAATTTTAACATCAATTTGGTGTTTGCATAATTATCAGCTCCATTTGCCCTCAGCGCGGTAGGTTAATATTTCCCCACCGAAAGGGAGTTCTTTGCCGGACCGCAGTCCCACCGACTGTCTTCAGGCCCAGACCGACTCTAGGCTGACATGAGGCCGGAGGGCTCGCGTGATCCGATTCACATGAAGCCGACTTTCACACATGCCTTCCAGGCTCACGGTCGTCTGCCCACTCCGAATGGAGCTACTTTTAAGGTTT